TTTAATGTACTTGTACTTTGTAAAAAATATTTCTATATTAACCTGCTTTCTACTTGTACTTTACTGTATTCTGGGTGCAAATATTGTTCTTTGGAGGCCACACCATTTGTTTTGTACCATCATCATTTTATTCCTGAACTCAATAAATAATTGGGGTAAAAGTCATAAATCTAAATATTTGCGATCTAAATAAATATTAATATTAATATTTGAGTATTTTTCTAATATGGCTTTCAGCACATTTCTAAGCAAAGTCTTTTGTTTTTGTTCTTGGTTCCATCTCTGTCCATCCATTAAAAAAAGCCATTGTGTGTGATTGAACGTGAAGCTATTGAACGTGAAGCTATTGAACGTGAAGCTATTGAACGTGAAGCTATTGAACGTGAAGTTATTGAATATTCGGCGTAAACACTTTTGACAAAGCATTAATATTTACAGCGATCCAGACTTATTACAATCAATTTTCAATTCTCAAAACATACATAACAACACTAAAAGTTGCTTCTTTAATATGGTATCATCTTATCTTCTTCAGATGGATTTAAGCCGATGTAATGAATGCGGATTATTGATTGGGAAAATGTGTTATATTAATCTTATTACACTACAAATAGGCCGAAAAGGCACTTACACTGCGAAATTGAGAGATATTCGAATAGAATTTGGCCTGTCCACCAATGCGTAAAGCTAGCCCAGTACAGAACACAACAACATCCCTTTCCATTCTAGCACAAACTCAAAGAAATCAGCGAAACAGCTGCTGAACAACGAGCGCGAACTGTGTGCTGCTGACAGCCTGGAAGCAGACAGTGTCCAGTCCGGGCTCAACATCGCAGTGACCCCCAGCAGCAGCTCGGTGGAGCCGGACATGGACCACAGAAGGCAGCGACACAAACACACTCTGAACAATCGCCTGCACAGTGACAGCCTCCTCACACACCGAGCCAGGACCGCATAACTCACAATCTCCTGATTCTGCCTACCTTTAACGTCTACTTTGAAATCCCCCTTGTTGATGAAAACAAACCAGCTGTCAGTTTGCTCTCCCCTAACTACC